CATTAATTATGCGAGGTTGGATTTGCTTAGCCTTGCATGTGATGTGGTGTCTGAAAATGATCGCCGGGGGCAGGCGGTCGCTTGAAGAGAAGCGTGTTCTCCGGAATGCAAACTGGCCGACAGCATTGGAAGCTGCACATTTGGTCTGTTTTGAATCAGCTCAACATGACAAGCTGAAACCATGAAGCCTGGCAAGTTCCTCAGTCCCTTGCAATCCTTGCGGAAGTATCCAATGCAAGCTGGCCCTCAATCTAGGAATTCACTTGGCAAATCCCGGAGCCCGATGAAGCTCAAACTTTCGGCTTAGGAGGAAGAGCAGCCCGCCGAAGCTGGGGAAGAGGCTGCGCCGACATGCCATCCCCGTCAACCAAATAGGAGTTTACGAAAATAGGGGACCCCGAATGTAGACCCCCAAATCGTAGGATTCCCTTTTTCCAGGGACCCCAATAAGGCAGCCCCTATCGTGAACCCGCAAATCCTGCGTGCTAGTTCTGACCCTCCAAGGATGTTGAGGTACGACGAGGCCCAGTTGACCACAGTTCACAGATCGCACTAGGGTATCGACTCTTGCCCATATACCGAATTGTCCCACCAGTAGGCTTGCCAGGCTAGACACGACCGCCTGCCTGACTCAGCCCAGTTTAGCAGGATATGCCAGGACCAGGTTGGGTAGTCACCCCGAACCCCACAAATCTGGCTGGTTCTTAGTAGGGAATGAGGGAATGAGTGCCCTACATAATCCCTTAAAGGGTATATGTAGAGCCCTCATTCCCTACTAAGAACCAGGAAGAAAAGCAAAGAAAGGGCGCCTGTGGCGGCATCCCCCCGAATAACAAAGCCGTGCACTCCAGCCCTCGTAGCCCCGTTGTATCTTTGGAGCTCAGATATATGAACTTGGCAGTTGGCAACCCTTGAAAAGCCCTAAGCTCCGAAATCCTCCAAACCCTATAGAAACCCCAACCCCCCAACCCCTTCCGATCCCCTAAAACCCTCACAACCCCCCAACCCTAAACGCTTAAACCCTTAAACCCTTAAACCCTACACCCGACAACCCTAAAAACCCAAAAACCCCTAAAACCCGAAACCCTAAAAACCCTTAAACCCTAAAACCCAAACAAAAACCTAAGACCCTAAACCCTGAACCCTAAAACCCTAAAACCCTAAGCCCTAAAACCCTAAACCCTAAAACCCTGAACCCTAAACCAACCCCAAGACAGAAAAGCCACGATGCTTAGGTTCCCGCAGCCGAAGAGCCGGCCGAAGCTGAGGCCGAGGCCCCTCCGCCCGAAGCCAAGGCCTGCGGGTTTAGGGTTTTGGGTTTTGGGTTTAAGGTTTAGGGTTTAGGGTTTAGGGCTACGGGAAAAGGGTTTAGTGTTGGTAGGTACGAGGCCTATTGCAAAAAAGGGTTTGGTAGGAAACCTTTTAACCTTTCTGGTGACATAGAATCCTAGCATGTATCAAGGGTCAAGCCTTTTTCTGGGCTAGGGTATTCAGCCCCTGTGTGGGGGGGGGGGGGGTTGGGTTGGGGGAGGGTGGATGAGTCACATGATTGCTTTTCTTGGGTTTAAGTTTCAAGTCCTTCTCCTTTATTCTCCACTGGGAGGGAGGAGGGGATGGCACTAGTGGATGGCTTGTGTTTTGAAATGGCTTTCAGGGGGCCTCAGAAAAGCCCCAAGCCTGGACTCCCGCCCTCTTTGCCCTGGCAAGGCGGGCGAAGACCCAGCTGAGGAGGCGATTGCGGGCGAGGAGCCGGAGTGGCAACCAAATGAACCCTCTGCTTTTGGGGGCCATACCCTAAACCCTAAACCCTACTACTATAAATCCCTATGAGGGTAGTTGCGAAGCACAAGCCGTTTTGGGGTTCATTTGGTCCTTAAGCTCTCGGCTCCGTAAACTAAGCGGCGGGCATGGCCCTGAGGGACTCAGAGACCTGGAAATGATTCTCACTCGCGCTCGCGCTGACGCAGGAGGTGTATGTTCCGCTCGACGAGGCGGACGACGAACACCCTGAAGCAGATGAAGGCGCAATCGGCACACCACCTGCTGCCGCTGCCATCCAGATATTCCGAAGTGCACCCCTGCCCAAAAAGATATATCTCGTGTTGACGCGCGTTTGGCGAACAGGCGCGGCGCAAAGAGAAGCAGCCGATGCCGCCGTCCCAAAATCTCACTTTTTGAGTTTGCTCATGCCGCCAGCATGATATTGGTAAAGGTTGGTTGCTTTCTGCTTTCTGGTGAGGCCAGTGCGCTGTAGAAGCTCAATATGGCTGCTATGTGGTGCTTCAGTCGTTTCGCAGCCCGAGGAATTCTTGCTGTTTCGGCTCACGACCGCTGTGAACTAGTGCTTTCGACTAGGCAACATGCTGCACAGACACGATAGTTCCCTGCGGGGGGGGCGGGGGGGGGGGAGGGAGGGGGTGGGGGGGGTGGACCCAGAGAAAAAAACCCTTAATACAGAACTCTCACAGATACGCTGTGCATGATTTGTCTTATTTATACAACTTGCCTCACGAGCAGCCTCTGGACGGGACGTTGTCGGAGTCGGGATACGATGATGCGTTCAAGCTGCGTTCTCTTTTGAGCATACGACTTCGCAGCCACAATGGCCTTGGCTGGCGCAATGTTGCAAGAAGTACTTGACACGACGCTGCCCACCTTGGGGAGGCAAGCCCGACGGAATGGCACATTCGTGGCTCGTACGCCGGCAACTACATATTGCCCTAGACCCTATTCCCTATACCCTAAACCCTGAACCCTGAACCCTAAACCCTAAACCCTAAACCCAAACCATGTCCCGCTCAAGTTGCCAGGAGCTGCTTCTGTGACGGCGATGTTGTTGCCTTGGCGCGGCTTGTCACACTCAGACGTGCACTCGTGATCAACAGCACTACAGTTTCCAGGGTAGGGAGGCATAGGGCAAGCTGAACCGTCAGGGTTTGCATAGGCCCTAAACCCTAAACCCTGGTATCCTGGGGGCCAGGTGACTCCCGTTGCTCAGCATATCGGAAAGTTGGGCTCACTTCCAGCAATCCATCTTCAGTGCCCCGTGGAGCATGGCTAGACGGGTGGCAAACAACCCCTAAACCCTAAACCTCAAACCCCAAACCCTAAACCCTAAACCCTAAACCCGCTGGAGAAGGCAAAGCTCCGCGGCGCTACGCCACGCCTGGGCAGACACGTTGCAGGAGAATCTGGCGTTGCCGAGCACACCTTGGAGGTTCATGGGTAGCTATAAGTAGGGTTTAGGGTTTAGGGTTTAGGGCTTAAAGTACCCCAAGTGGGGGTTAGAAGTAGAGTTATCATACTTGTAAGCCCTACTTATAGCTTCCCATCGGGGGTTTTAAGTCGAATTTCCATACTTCTAAACCCTACTTATAGCTAGCTACCCATGAACCTCGCAGCATGTGTCGGTCACGTGGCTGGCAATGCAGTGAGTCAGCTCCAAACTCCCTAAACCCTAAACCCTAAACCCTTGGCTTCAGCACTAGGAGAGGAAGGCCGAAGCCCTCGAGGCTTGGCTGCACTTTGTGCGTTCTACGCTTCTGCAAATGTCGAGGCCTTAATAATTAGAATAGGGTTTGGGGGGGGGGGGGGGGTTCTTATAGTAGATTTATGGAGGGACCATAAGGGAATCATTTCGGGACCATAAGGGAATGCTATTAGTAGTTCTTCCAACCCCTATTGAGGGGTACTCTTCACCACAAAAGCCCAATCGCCATGACGGCTGAGGACGCCCATGCGGGTGTGCTCCTCCACGCAAAGGCGCTCATTCGAGGTTGCAGGGAATTGGTCCATCTCTTCACGCACAGATAAGCACAGCTGGTTACGAGGTGGCATGTCTCTCTGTGTGGAGGCGAGAGGTGCTAACTTCAATTCCAAGCAGCTCAATTTCAAGATCCTTGTCTGAAATAGCCGGACTTCTTTTGCAGATGCTCGGCTAAGGGATGACAGCACGATGTTGTCTGTCATCTGAGGAAGAGCTTCTTGACAGATGATGAGCTGGTTGCTCGGCAGCATCATCCGAGAGTTGCATCTTCGGCCTTGCGTGCCTTCAAGCTGCCTTGCATCGCAGCTGCACATTTGAGGAATGCCTTTGCTCTAGTGCCAAGCGACTTTGCAGCAACAGTTGGCGCTGTAAGCCGGGCCGGGCACATAAGCACAGCGCCTAAGATCTAATCACGTGCCCATGTGTGTGTGTGTGTGTGTGTGTGTGTGTGTGTGTGTGTGTCTGTCTGTCTGTCTGTCCGTCCGTCCGTCCGTCCGTCCGTCGTCCGTCCGTCCGTCCGTCGGTCCGTTTGTCTGTCTCTGTGTTGTGGGTTTCTCTGTGTGTGCGTGTGTGCGTGTGTGCGTGTGCGTGCGTGCGTGCGTGCGTGCGTGCGTGCGTGCGTGCGTGCGTGCGTGCGTGCGTGCGTGCGTGCGTGCGTGCGTGCGTGCGTGCGTGCGTGCGTGCGTGCGTGCGTGCGTGCGCGTGCGTGCGTGGTGTGTGTGTGTGTGTGTGTGTGTGTGTATGTGTGTGTGTGTCTCTGTGTGTGTGTGTGTGTGTCTCTGTGTGTGTGTGTGTGTCTCTGTGTGTGTGTGTGTGTGTCTCTCTGTGTCTCTGTGTCTCTGTGTCTCTGTGTCTCTGTGTGTGTGTGTGTGTGTGTGTGTTTCTCTGCGATGTAATAAACTGCGGCTTTAAGCCTCCATTGTCATATGTGTTTACCACGTTATCAAGCATGAAACCACATGACCACTCATTAGAGTCAATGCTTGCCACAGAATTACAACTTGCATTGTTACTGAGACTGCCATCCCTACAACCATTTTTAAAAACCTTGTAGTGTATTCATTCCAATACTTCGAAAAAGATCGAAAACCCATGTTTCTTTGACATATGGATGCTTCACCGATATAGCAACCATAGCTTCAAACTATGGTTAGTATTATCTGGCTCATCATGTGTACATGAATGACGAGCAATACCAGAGACGATGTCACATGTGCAGAGGTTCTGTATCACCATGAGCTCGGTGGATGACTTGTGCATCAACGTCAATGAAGTCGGTGACCGGGGGCTTTGCGCACTGGCAAGCGCATGCATGCTGCTGCCCTTCAGCTACTGAGCTGCCATTGGCCACAAGTTTCCTGCAACGTTCCCCTGGTGTCGTAGTGCTGGCCACACAGCAGCTCCAAATGGACCGCAATAGAGCACAGTAGCGTTGAGCACAGAAGTTGCTTGCACTGAGACTAAAACCTCAGGCCACTTGACAGACTTCTTTGCCATAGCCAGATGCTCAGTTGCTGGAGCCGTTGGCAGCTGTGCGGTGACCCCTTAAGAGAACCACAACCCTAGACCCTACACCCTACTGTTGAAGCAGCAATCAAAGGACAATCACTTTGGCGACGCGGGCCTTGCTGCCTTCTCTGCTGCGGCACGGAGTGGCGGCCTTCCCACTCTACGTCGGTTGTGCTTATACTGCTGCTTGCTTCATCAATCCCAAGCAAGCCTCGTTTCTGTCTACTCAAGCTGTTCAGACGTGTTTTCCGGTACTGCCGGAACACTGGCGCGGGTTAGTCTTCTGTAGCTTGGACACTCAAGCCTTGCGTGCTGCTGTGCGACTGTGAGAGTCCTACCCTCCATCCACCCTTGGTATAGTGAACCGTCAAGGCGGGTAACTTGAGGCAACTAAACCCGCAAACCCTGACAAGTATCGTACGGCCAGTGGACCTTTGATTATCGAATGGCTGAAGGTGAGCTCTTCTCCGCTTTGAGGTGTGTTGAGCATTCGGCACTTGTGCTGCCAACTGCAGACAATTTGCACTCGGCAGTTAGGGGTGCAGTTTGGATGTCCTGCGTGTCTCTGTGTGTGTCGTGGTCCGTAGGTCCTGGGGCACTGGAGTGACGACAATGTTTCAACACCCAGACTTCTCCCAGTCGGACAGGCTATTGTTACTAGCATCACGGCGTTTTTCAGCAGACAATGATTGAACAGAGGCAACAGCATCGGCGATGTTGCTTGGCAGATGATCTACTGATCCCTTAGTCCTTTGTCCCACTGCCTGCGGCGCACAGCATGCGTTGACATTTGCAACCGTCGCTGCGCGAACCCAAGGACGGTATCAGTGCGCTGGCCGAGGCCATCCAGGAGAAGGTGGCATCAGGGATTCGGCAAATGGGCGTTTTCACAAATTCAGGCTGCCATGGACGTCCAGACGTCCAGCTTGCGTCTTCGAGTAGAGTATTCCTCGAGCATCGTCTTTTCGGATTGGGGGCTTAGGTTGTGCCCCATGGCCTTCCGCTCAGCAAGCAGAGTGCCTAGAGCTGGTTGTCAGATATGCACGCGCGAGAGAATGTTCGAGACACGTCCTCAGGCTTTTGCGCCGGGAGGCCTCACCAACCTTCTCGTCGTTCGGCTATACTTCTGGAAATGCCGTGCGAGCGGACTTGGCTTGTTGTCAATATGTAGCAGAATCTGCCGTAGCTGTGCTGGTTGACTGAGCCTTCCTGTACAATACTGTCAGCCCGCCAACAGCTTGCCGGGAAGGCACACCTGAACATACGAAAGAATCACCGCCTTAAGAAGCATCACAAGGTGATGGACAATGATATCTCAGATGAAGGCCGGAGAGTCGTCCCTGCAGAAGCAGTAGTGCTGAAACTGAATAACTGCATGTAGTGAACTTGTTACTGCTAGCAGCAGGTATCCGAAGTTTCGAGCGGCCGTTCGAGAGCGGGCGGCCTCTTGAACGATGTTCTTGCTGCATGTGGGGACTTGCGAGGTGTAATTGTGACACGTGCAGCGCCTTAGAAGGTTCACAGGCCTTTGACATGGCTACTATGTGCTTCTTGATTCGTTCCGAAAGTTCCTGCGTCTTCTGAAGCTCGCCGTTGCATTGCAATAAACGATGCGACGATACTTGCTTTCATGTAGCTTTGCGACCTTAAGCGACCTTAAACGGCTGCAAGCAGTACCTATAGCGAATGGCCATCCCAAGCCGGAAGGACGAGGGCTTCTGAAGGCTCAACCTCTATGAGGGCGCCCACAAAACGCTCCCCCCCGCCCAATTCTAAAAAAGACGGAGCTTGCATGCACAAGTCGAGAGGTGTGCCAATAGGCAAAAAAACAGAGTTTCAACGCCATCCAAGGCTCAATGAGATGGAGGAGCTCGGAGTTGGGATGCGTGTGAGTGATGAAGGCAGCCCCCCACCCCCACCCCACCACCCCCACCCCCAGCTCCCCAGCCAGCTCCCCACCTCCCCACCCCCACCACCCCCACCCCAGCTCCCCACCCCACTACCCCCACCCCACCACCCCCCCCCCCCACCCCTTCCTTAAGGGACCAAATGGACCGTAAAAGGGTTTATGGTTCATATACCCTCGTGGGGATTATTGTAGTAGAGTTAGTAGAGGGTACATGACCCGAGTTTTCGGGTTCATTTGGTCCCCAAGATTTTGCATGCGCAGGGCAAAAGTCTTTGATTCATTGCCTTGTGGTACTAGTAGAAGAAGCCCAAACCCTAAACCTTGAGAGTCGAAACCCTAAAGGCCCTAAAGGTTACAGCTGCCAGTCGCCATCGACCCGCGTTTGCACCGACTCAGGCTTTCAGCTGCTGATAGACGCTGCTGCTGGCGGTCAGCTTCCAAACCTTTCGGAGCCAGGGTGACGCAAACGTGAGGGGAGAATCGTAAGACGTTTGTTCGTTCAGTCGGTTTGTTGTGGCAGCATGTCGTGGAAGTAGGTCACACGTGGATGCAGCAATGCCTTGAACTCGAGCAAGACATGGAAAATGCTCACTCATGAGCATCTCTGGTTCGGGTATGTTCACGTAGCTTGCGCGGCCAAGTGGTTCGTGGACAGGAGTTGCACCTTCAGAACAACATAGCCATCCGTGGTAAGCCCTTGCAGCAGCTGATAGCTGCGATTCAGAAAGGCGACGTGCCCCGCGCCCTGGCCGTAGAATGCAGTCAAGCTCGTCATCACTTTCAAATCATTTGGGATGAGCTGCGGGTTTAGGGTTTAGGGTTTTCAGGCTTGTACTGGCTCTTCAATTGCGTTAGACATTCCTTCGATGGGGCTGGGGACTGGCCCACGGCTCTCCCAACATCAGCTTGCACTCAGGCCTAAAGCACGTTTGGCTGGCAACTGGGCTGCATCGCTTAGCATACGTCATGTGTATATCATGCTACCACATAGGATTGCATGGACATGCCTGGCCCTGCGACGCACTTTTGCAAGTGACGGGGTCCACAGGAGAACACGGGAACAAGCGCCGAGGCTGCACTATACCAATATAATTGTTGTCCTATTACACTCGGCACTGCTTCGTCAATGGAGCCTCAAGTCGTCGAGACGAAGTAAGCAGCGAGCTGACATCGGTTGGTTGATGCAGTACCCCAACCAGATACCGGAGAAGGGTAACACACTACTTTAAACTACTGAACCTTAAGCTCTGAACCTTATAGGCTCTGAGCCACAATCCGCAAGAGCAAGTTCTCAACCCAGGCAGCAAGCTCCGCCGTGCCCTACTGTCTGAGCTTGACAGTGAGACAGATGATTTCAACGGCTGAAAAAAAGGGGTTTTCCGAAAATAGGGTACCCTTTTTGGGGGGGTATCTTTAAAGGGGATGCTAGTCTGTTTGGGGCATAAACGGGGTACCCCAATTTTCTGAAATGCACAAATAGGGCGAGACAGGGGCGCTGAGAGTCTAAGGGTCTCGGGGTCATCTTGGCATGGGAATGGGGTCTTAGGCCCGGCTTGCAAGCATTGGGCAAGCCGTTTCCGCGTGCAACATGTGTCATGCGTCGGAAGATTCGAGGAGAGATTCCAGACAAATTCCTAAGCGACCCTTCCTTGAACATCGGCATTTTAAGGCCGCAGCAGAACTGGCAGAAGAGAGTCCCGATGCTGGAGATGAGCTCAGCTTTCCGCTTCGCCGTGATTTTCTGGGTCTTCTTGCTCGAGGTTTCAGAGAAGCGGGACTCACGTCCGCGAGTTATGAGGGCCGGTTGTGCCATAAGTCGTTGAATTCGGTGAAGTACCATGAATGAACCCCAGAGCGCTCAAAATGCTTCGAGACTCTTTCTCAAGAACAGGAGGAGCAGGGCCGAACATTACAAAATGACACGGGTTTGGTGGCTATGGTGTGCACAAAAGACGAATGAGAACGTCTGAAGCGTAACGGCCAGCGGGTAGTTCTCTAAATTAAGGTTGTTTTTTGGGGTCCTCCTTTTCCAGGGCGCCGTACTATGTGGGCATTGCCCAAATAGGGGTACCCCGATATTGCACCCCAATTAGGATCCCCCGAAAGGGCCCCCCCAAAAAGGGTACCCCTTGCTTGAGAAACTTTAAAAGTGACTATAATAGGGGGCAAGATAATCCCTATTAAGATCTGTGAGTATCAGGGAAAACTTCCCAAAGACCTAAACCCTAAACCCTAAACCAAGAAGGGGACCCTCGCTACCCAAGTGCTGCCAGGCGCCACGGCGGCCGAGGAGCGCCCTGGGGCGGGCGAGGAGCGCTCGCCTTAACTTGCCTATCATAGGGTTTAGGGTTTAGGGTTTCGGGTTTAGGGTTTAGGGTTTAGGGTTTTTCAGGGACCACATGAACCTGAAGGGATCAAAATGAACCCTAAAAGGGTTTATGGTTCATATTACTTTGAAAGGAATTGTAGTAGTACAGGGTATATGACCGCCTGTCAGAAGTGTTAAGCGACCATGAATGAACCCCAAATGGGTTCGTGGTGACTATATTACCTTGTAATAGGAGCTATAGTAGTTACAGGATACATGACCCCCAGTTTTCGGGTTCAACTTGGTTTTCAGGGCGCGGATCAAGCAGGCAAGCTCTTGGCTTAATTTGCTCCAGGGCTGCGCATGCTTTCATGAAGAGCTTTGCCTGTCGGAGGAGGAGGACGAGGAAGAAGAAGAGGCTCCAGAATCACCAGGCAAACGTGTGCACAGATCGTGGATGGTGTGCATAAGTTCCAGAAAGTCATGTGCTAGTGCATGGCATGTGCCTAAAGTGTGGTTGCCAAGCGGCGCAAGGTCGCCAAGGAAAAGAGTCACACTGAGTCACATCTTCCCGTCTCGCAGCACTCGCTTGCCGCAAGCAGACAGCTTCTTGATCATGCGATGGGTTATATTCAGCCAGTGCCCACTCGGTCCATTGGGAAATTGCGTCATTCATTCTTCTCTAGGTAGGCCCTTGGGAGTATTTTATATGGTCCCTTGGCTTTACGAGGATCATACTCAGGAATATGTTTGAGAGGGTTTTCAGGCAACCCTAAACCCTAAACCCTAAGCCCTAATTTCTTGCACTTTTATCAGCGATGTGCGCGCTCTGAGCTTCTGGCTCCAGGAGTGGAGTTTGGGCACCGATATCCTGGGCACCGCAGCAGATGTTGCAATGCTTAAGGGGCATGAAGGAACTTAGGGTTTTGGGGTTTAGGGTTTAGGGTTTAGGGTAACTTCAGCAAGCCGCAGGCCCGAAGGAATCTAGGACCCAGGAATTGCGATACGCGTGGCGCAGCATGCCCCAGAAGGCCCCCGATGGCGAGGCGCCGTGGGAGCGCCACGTGAAATGGCAGGACTCAATGACCTTAAACCCCAAACCCTAAACACTGGCTTTTTAAATTGTTCAGGGTTTAGGGTTTAGGGTTTAGGTTTTAGGGTTTAGGGTTTAGGGTTTAGGCAGCGTGGATCCTTGCTCGGAGGCTTGGGGGTCACTGGTTCTGAATAGATATCATCCCTTGGATTGTATAGAAGTAGATATATAAGGGGTACATAAGGGGCCCCCTTTCAAGGATTTTAATGGCCCATACTAAGAGACGATGTAACGACCCTCAGAACTGAGGCCCCAGGGGGCTCTTGTAGGTGGCAGATGGTGGGGGCAGTGTGGGGAGGTCATTCTGGAGACTAAACCCCTAAACCCTCAACCCTGGAAGTTTCAGAATACCCGACTGATGTTCCGCCTTTCCAACTCATTGGCCCACATTCGTCAAGTGACTCGGTTTGGAGCAAGGACCTGCGTGGGAGCGGTTCCGACATCAGCTTGGACACTGATGGGCATCACGTCCTGCCCTCAACCATCGTCACGTCTGGCCCAGGTCGCTTCCGTCTGTGGCAGAAATAGAATTACATAAGTGTCAGATGAATGCACGAGTTCGCAGCCCTTCACACCACGACCTAAACTATCGGGGTATCCCTTATTATTGTTTTTTGTTATTTTTCATTTTTTTTGGGGGGGGGTTCTTATAAATAAGCACTAAACCCTAAGCCCTAAACCCTAAACCGTAAACCCTAAGCATGCTAGCCAAGCTCCTGAAGCTCCCAGGTCCTCCAGAAGGATGCTGCCGATGCTCTCGGTTCCTGCTGCTAGCTTGATATTTTGTTTAGGGTTTAGGGTTAGGTCTTTGCGACTGCGTAGAGAGTCCACAGAAACATTGCAAAACAGATGCGTCTATCACAATCTGGGATAATGCAGCGTTGTGCTGCTCATGGATTCTTCGCCAAAGTGAACAGGCTATGGTGGTGCTAGCAGGAATTCCGGTCATAAGGTTCAAGGCAAGGGGCACGGCCTAAAATGTTCATCAGTCCCAAGGCAAGCTGCGGCTGAAGTGCTGCTGTCTCGAAGGCGGCCGAAGACTGTAATCCGCCGTGTAGCCATGTGGGTTTCATCTCTGGTAGTGGCGCAGAAGACAAGGAAGATTTGGCCTGCATAGTGCATAAGATGTTGGATCTGATGATCTTCTGGCATCTCCAGACTTCGAGACCTGTATCCCTGAAGCCATGGTGTCTAAGGGGTGAAGGTTTTGCTCATGCGAGCGCCTGCAGAATGAACCTTAGCCTGTGCGCTTTAGACCCCCAGATTCGCTTTTGCGTCCTGCGGCCCGAATTGAGCACCAACACAGCCAAGAAGGTGTGCAGCTCAAGTCGCTCAAGTTGGGGCTGCGTTCTTCTTGGGGGGGGCACCTTTGGACTTCAGACTTGAATCCCGCATCCATTGGCATCGTGGCAGCGCAGGCCTTGCCAAGCTCGTCGAGGCGGTTGCTCGTCAGCCATCCAGGACAAAGATTCTGGCATCTTTCATTCCCGGTGAGAAGCCGGTCAGAATTCGTGGCCACTTGCAAGCAAGTGCAGAGTTTACTAACCAGACAGTAAGTGCAGTGGTCAACGTTGTCAATATGTACAAAGCCCGCAGATCAGCTTTCTGGTCAGATGCCGCAAGTAGACTTCACGGCGGTCTGCATAGTGGACAAGCTTTGTATGACCTCAGCTACAGTCCTAGGTCCCCTTAAAAGGGAACCCCTTCTTAACCCTCTTCTCAAGGGACCTTTTTCAGAGGGTCTAGAGCCCCAAGGGTCCCCCTAATCCTATCCCCTATACAGTTACAGCCTGACTAAGGTAAGCTTACTGGTCCGGCTCTCAGCTTGGGCTTCCCTGCATTTGCCTATTTCGTACCTTCGTCTTCACTAGGGGCAAAGCGTTGACCCCATGGCAAAGGTGAGAGGGTATATCGTATATAAATGTGTGGGATCTTGAGAAGCAATCTGGCTTCAGAAGGCCGAAAGACCCAGAGCAGTCATAATTTCGGGACGAAAGACCATTGGATGCTTTTGACTCGCAATTTCGTGATCACTGGCGCTTGGACTTGTGTGCACAGGTCATATGTGGAAGCTGAACAACAACGTTCGGCCCACGATCGCGAACCTCACACAGATATCGAAACTTGATTGAGTCATAAAGTCCCATGACTCAAGCTCTCCCCAAATCCTTTGTAGGCTTTGTTGTCCTGCGTGCTGAAATAAGGAAAACCTATGCCTGTTCATGGGTTGGTTTTGTTTTCATTCTGGGAGTACCTTGCATTGTCCCAGGATTCCCGCAGCCTTACTAAACTACTCCCCTCAACCCTAAACCATCAACACATCCCTCCATGGCAAAGATGGTCTTGAACCAGACTGCAACACAACTCGATTGCATCACTATTGCATCACGCTTACAAACTCGTTTCGTGCTAAAACATTGTGCTGGGCCAAGGAGCTGGCGCCGACGGCTCTTCGTCATTGAGGATTCTGAGAGTTCCCCGGCTCATGTGTTTGGGGTTTAGGGTTTACGGTTTTGGGTTTTGGGTATGATTGCACCGGAGTACCTTGGGATGTTCCCCCTTAGACTATTAATTGCAGTCCTTAAGACTTAAGAGGGATTATAATAGGGGTTGCTGCAATCCTTATGAAGGACTCTTGTTATAAGGGGGAACGTCCCACGGAGCACTGGTCTTTATTTGCTTAGCTGGCAAATGTTTTTTGTTGGGTTTCGCGGGCTTGACATCATGTCTTGCTGATGGCGGAATGAGGCGGCATGGCCATGATGCTGCTTGCCCAGCATTAAGAGAATTTCCGCACTAGGCGGCTGATGTTCCGACGTTGATTCCGTACGCGACAACGACAAGCACAACTAGCGGCTGGAGCTGAATTGTTCGAAAACTAGATGAATTGTCTTGGCGACTCTAGCTTCCCACGAGTGCCGACATCACCCAAATTCTTCTTGGACGTTGAGAATCTTCATTTGTTCCGACTCCTCGACATCTCTGCGTACCTTTTTCGATGCTTGTTCGGCCAGAAAGGGCTTCTGGCCCAAGTCTTTTGAGAATTGGGTTTCGGGACTTTTGGTTTCGGGATGTTTCGGGTGTGAGGTGCAAGAGGGGTTCAGAGTTCTGGTGCACACCCTCACAGGGCAACTGACACCAGGTACCTCTCCGAAAAGGAAGATGGCTTGCTGGTGCCTGCGTAGCTCGTTCGCACTGATGTTAGGTGCGTATGCATCTGTGCGCACTTGCAATTTGAAGTCTTCTGAAGTGGAAACTCTGAACACGTTTGGACTCCTAAGTCCTGAAGTTCCTATACTGTCATTGCTTGTCTAAAGTTGCCTTAAACTACCACTTGATTAAGAACCCCAATTTAAAAAGTCTTCCTTATAAGGGTAATATAGAGATTGTTTTTTGGGGGTTCTTAAGCATATAGTAGTAAATTGCATAAAGTTGTACACCCTGCTGCTGAGGGCAGTCCTGCGCGGCAGAACAAAAGGCCGGGGAAGCTCCTTGGGGTACAAAATTGCACACAATGCCGTACGACTGGCTTAGGGTTCAGGGCACCCCTCTCTCTCTCTCTCTCTTAAATGTCTAGCCTTGCCATGCCCAAGGGCTAGGGTTTAGGGTTTAGGGTTTAGGGTTACAAGATTGTGTTTCTGATGTGTTGGGGCTGTAGGCGCTTTTCTGACGAAATTCCATCTCGGCCAGGCGGCAAGTCCCTGGCCAAGCTGGAAAGGATGGAGGCGGGACAGAGGGCTTCGGTTTGCAGTTGCAAAGACCCTTGAGTCGTTTCGCCGTGGTCTGCCTCTCGCCTGAACTGCCCTGAGGCGTTGCCAGAAGTAGTTCTGAAACCTGCTGCTCGACACAGATTATGGTGTCTTGGAGAGTGTTGCGAAGACCGAATGAAGACTGCAAGGTCGCCGAGGATGTGGCGTACAGCGCCCTTGCAGCATGCGCGGCAGTGCTTGTAACAACGCGCCGCCTGCAGACTTTTTTTTTGTTTATGAATTCCTGTTTGTGGTGCTGGAACAAAGTCGACATGCGAGTCATGCCGGCAGCCCAAGGCACCATGAACAATATCAGACAATACGAGATTGCATTCTTCGGTGGGCAGGCGCCCTGGGAGCATGACAAGTCGAACTGCTAGGGAAAGGGCCCAGGGGCATCGCCCCGCATTTTGACAACAATCACACCACAGGGCTGAGCGTTACCTTGGTACTTCCCGCAGCCTTCGGGCTGGCAAATCCGGTAGTGAAATCGGAACATGAAGTAGAAGCGGGTGGCGATGATGTGGCATGGGACTCTCTGCTGCTTCACCCTGCTGATGGTGCCGGTGGAGGCAGTGATTCATGGTGCCACAAGGCATGGTACCACAAAGAAGCAAGCTGGCAACATCCGCTTCCTGTCCTTCATAGGAACTGAGGGCTCAGGGCATCACTTGTTGACACCGATCCTGCGAAAAGTGATGAATCTGACTCTTGTGGACACGCAAGATGTGGGTCCTGCTCGTCACATTAGCCAGGCTTCGTTCCTTGGAGGCGACGATGTGTTCAACGCTTTCATGGCAGATGATGCCGACGCATTGCACACGGCACTTAAGCAACACCAGCCGGGTGAGTTAATCCAACAAGCCTATAGCTTCCCAACAAAATTTCACCATCGGAATGCAGACTCGAGACTTTTCGATTTGAGCAGCCTGTATCGGATGTTGGCTTCTGCTGGAGTGGACCAGATGGCCGTGGTGAGGTACGAACGTCCTGCGGGTGATTGCGCGCGCTCTGTCTTCAAACGGTGGCCGAGCCTCTGTTCTGACAGCTTGCAGGCCTGTGAGGAGCAGCAGACAGTGTATGGCAACCTCATAGAGAAACATCTTGACAGACTGTCCAAGATGCAAGTACCCATTCTACGGATTGGCATGGACTTATTGCACCGGAGCCTTGGTCATAGTTGGGTATCATGTTACATTTTTTAAGGGTGCCTAAACCCAATAAGGAATGAATATATATATATATATATGTATATATTTTGTTTATATTTAAATTTTTAATACGATGCCAACCATGAACTAGGAACTGCCACAAGTTCGGCCTCCAGTTGCTCAAGTTCTTCCGCGAGGCCAACATGCTTCTCCCCGACTCGCCCTGGCGAACCGAGGATGAGGAAAGAACACAAAACCTGACCAACACGGTCTGTACAGTTCTCCAACACCGTGAGGAGATGTATTTAAATCACACAAGCCCTTCTGCCGAGGACGGCAGCAGCTCATGACGGCGGACAAAGTCCCCCCCCCCCGTGCGCTGCCAGAGGAAAAGGTCAAGGGACCTACATGTCGAGAGAATCGCACTGCCACGAAGGGCTTGGGCATAAAGAAGTTGCCGGAGAAGCTCTACCCGAGACCTGGCAAGCTGGAACCTCTTGACGGGCTTTGAGGTCAGGGATCGTGGGTAGCAGGTACCTTCGACCCCAGAGTGATCGGGACACCTTTCCTATGGCATGGAAACCCCAAGCCCTAAACTCGGTTTCACGCTGGCGCCCGGTGTTCGCTCTTCGGAGGTATTGCTGCAGAAGCCCTAAACCTGCTTTTTCCTTAAGAACACCCAAAAAAATAAAATTAAAATCCCTATATTACCTTATAAGGAAGATTTTTTAAAGATGTTTTGGGGGGTTCTTAAGCAATTCGTAGCAACCCGGAGCCGAGGATTCAGTTGGACTGGAGAGATAGCGCCGGCCAAGAACAGCCGCGGACTGAGTACGACTGATTTGCGCATCCCTGGAGGACCAGCTGAACCCTAAAGTTGGGGTCATACACCCTATACTACCACATACCCTGTACTACGAGAGTTCCTAATGAGGTAGATGAGCCCATAAACCCTTGTCGGGTTCATTTGGTCACCAGAAATGTGTAGGAAACTGCCCATTTTCAGCCACATCTTCGCCCGAAAAGGCACGTCATGCTGGCGGCACCTCAAGATGTGGACCGAAAAGCCTGGATGGTGCTGCGGCAAGAATGTGGGTTTAGGGTTTAGGGTTTAGGGTTGGCCTGTTCCGCAAATCTCTGGAGCCACGTAATTAGACATAGCTACATCTGGGGGCCATCGAAGACACGTAACCACTTGCAAGAAGACAGGTCGAGAATGGTAATTGCTTACATTTGCTTACGGCCGGAGAATTAAATTAGGATTTTTTTGTTTTTTTGGATTTTTTTTGTTTGCTTTAGGGTTTTGGGTTTAGGTTCAGGGTTTAGGGTCTAGGGTTTAGGGTTTAGGGTTTGACAAAAAACAAAAAGCATCCCAAAAAAAAACCAAACAAAACATCCTAAAAAAAATAGACCTCCTTTGCTTACTACCTGACAAAGAGTATTGCTCGTTTGGCTTTCAATCAAGGCTTACGTTATGCTTTCAAGAAAGGCTTACGTTATCTAAGGTTGTCATCCGAACATCAGCTGGCATGGCGATGGCTGGCAGTGGGGGGCCCTGGCACATCATCTCTGCTACGATAAGCAGATGACAGTTCGAGTGAAGGTATTGAAACTGGTACATGACTGACTAGCTGGTGTTACAACATTCAAGATCCTGAAAGCAGATGATGTGCTGTCTCCTTGTCATGCCACTCAGCAGACTTGTCATTTATCAAGTCATCCGGTCTCCTCACAGACCTGCAAACCTCCCGGCCTACAGGACTTTCTCCTCGAAGGGTTCGCTGTAACTGGCGCGTGCGAGGGTTTGAGGCAGCTCTCCATTGCAACTTTCGACGCTGCCAGACCAACCAGATACACGTCATACTTACGGTTACATGCTTTTAGGTCTTTTTGCCGCCCTGCTCTTCCCCATTCCTTGGGCATTCGTACGGTCGCCTGATCCAGGCCCGATGCTGATAGCTAGTCAGGCAAAAAGCTCATTCTGTTGCGTCGCGTGCAGTACTACTGTGCAATACGGTCTGAGATTCTGCCCCATACTGTCAGATGCTTTCATGGACCCTGTAGTGTGACAGATAGTGCAAGCGCGCGGTGGATAAAGATCCTACTTGCCACGGACTGGACCTACTGGGGACATTCTGTGCAGATTCGTAGCCAAGGTCCTCCAACCTGATTGGCATCGAGTGCATGATCCACTCTGAAACCAGGGTGGTGTAAAGGAACAGAATGCAGCCCGGGGTCTGGAAGTCTACATTTCATCAACCATATAAGAGACGAGTTTGAGAAGGCCAACTTCAGCATGTTTTCTCGCTGGGTCTTGGTAGGGAATGCGGGAATGAGGTACCCCATATCCCTCTAAGGGTATATATATATATATATATAAAGAGGGCCCTAATTCCCTCATTCCCTACTAAGAACCAGGGGGCTTTGTCGAATTGCCCGGCCTGCCCTCTTGATGAGCTTCATGCCTCGGATTGTCATGCTGCTGGGCCAGGCAGTGGACTTGACACGCCCGGGCTTATGCTCTTTTAAGATCTCGCCATGGTGCTGGAGGTGTAGTGTAGATAGTGTAGTCAGGGGCAAAATTGCCCCACCCCAACGAACTTGAAATGTCCAGTTCGTATCGTGAGATTTTAGGCTTTGCCGTGCACCGACTCGAGCAGCCCCTGCGTCAGCACCCACAAAAGGAACAGGGTCCACGCCTCGGACACTTCGAGTGTCTTCCCTATATCCCCCTTGGGAATTATTTTCATTTTTGTTCATATAAAACCCAAGAGGATATTAACAATGTTTTTTTCTGAAGGTTCTAAGGGGAGTATAGTTCCCCCGAGCCTTGGTCCGGGAGGTCCTGACGAGGACGACGAGGGTGAAGCTGAGCTCGAGAGTGGGGACCTTGAGATTCTTAGGGGTTTTAGGGTTTAGGGTTTAGGGTTTTGGTCTTAGGGTTTAGGGTTTAGGGTTTAGGGACCTTGTTCATGTGAAGGCTCGCTGCAAAGTGCCGGCATGTTCTTGCGTGTTCTTATCGCGGCCAAGGACAGATGCACGAAGACGAAGAGGAGGAGGGAGAGCCAGTGGAGGTGCGGGGAAGCGTTTGGAATGATCACCTGCAGTGATCAAGACCATGGACATGGGGGTCGTACATGACCCTTTTGACGGCGATTGTCTGAAGCAAGACTCTGGGATCGAAGTTTGAAATTCTACAGTAGTCCGCGCCCCTTCAAATCTTAGCATTATTAGCTGCGCCACGTCACCACGCCGCGCCAGGAGGGGCCTGATCCAATGGTCGAGCTTCAGGCACATTGCTTGAAATTCGGAGCTGGGTCTAGGGCCGGCTTTTCAAGGTTGTTGACAACTTCTGCCACCGCCCCACTCTGCAACTGTTGCAGCCTTGCAAGGAGAAGTTTGCACAGCTCCTGGACCAGAATGATCGCCTTAAAGGCAAAAATGCGACAGCCCCGGCATGGGTGTTCTGAGTGGGAATGTTGGCCGGGTGCACCAGTATAAAGGCTGTCACCAGGCTGTCTCTGTTCGCAGCAGGTATGGGGCTAGCAGGCTAGCACGGGCTGGCAATGTCATGATGTGCAATTAATTTTCGGGCATGTTCACGCAACGCGCAGTATCGCAAGACAATGCCGGGCACATGCGGTCTAGGTCGCGGAGAGGCTTCCTCCAGCCTTGGGAGACCGAAGCAAAAGTCGCTTTTTACCCTCCCTCGCACCATCTTGCCAGTAGCAAAAACGGAGCGCTCCTTGGGCATGGGTCGTGAGGTCCTAGCCTTTGCCTACGAGTGAAGAGGATGTGTGGACGAACTACTGGCCCCAGCGAACCTTTCTGGAGGGCTCGCGATGACGCTGGCGGAGGCTCCCTGAGATGGCGGAGGGGACGGCGCCCTCACGAAACAGTACCCTGCCTGCCGGTCCATGAAAGAAAGTTCTCATCCTTTCCGATTTCATTCGCTCCGACTTCACTGTGGGTTCAACTGCCAGCTTGTTCTTAGAAGATGACAGCTTGTATCCGTTCGTCACTGGATTGCCCCCTTTGCCGCCGAAAGCAGACTCCCTAAACCCTAAACCCTGTGTGCATGCTCTGGGGGTTCGGCCACATGTGCCGCGGCCTCGGAAAGCAAAGGGAGCGCTGAGCACTGCTAGCAGAGAGCGCGTCCCAAACCCTAAACCCTAAACCCCAAACCCTAAACCCTAAACCCCAGGGAGCTCTCCAGCGTGCTGTGATCAACCGACGAGCACAAGACAAGTCCTACGACGCTTCGGAGAAGCAGCAGCGACCTCAGTGCGGGAAGGAGCCCCAGGAGCCCACAGGGTTTAGGGTTTAGGGTTTAGGGTTTAGGGTTTAGGGTTTAAGGTAGCTTCTAAAGTTGAGCGGATCTTCGAGGGCGTGGGCACAGGCCCTGCAGCCAGAGTTTGTCCCGACAGAGGATTGGCAGTCGCAAGATTTCAGCCGCCTAGAGATGCTTTCAGTTGCATGCCAGGTCCGAGGGCAAAGTCACTGAGCATAAGTATCAGAACGTCGGACTCTCAGAGCGCAAGCCTGCATGCAGGACGCTTAACTTCGTCGCAACTGTTTGGGTTATTTTGGCTTCGTATCAGTACAGCAGGCGAGGGGGGGCGGCTTAAACTTTCCACCTGAGATGCTGAACAACGTGCACTCGGAGCGGATGAAGCTGCGCTTGCAGCAAGTCATGGCCGCAGGAGCCTTGGTGCGCTCGCCAGGCAAGTTGTGAATCTGCTCGGATAGAAGCAGCCCGCTGGGGATTGTAAGTCCCTGCAAAATACAGCGAGGCCCACGTGCCACAAAGAACCTGCCGTTGTACAGAGCTGAGGCACGCATGAGCGATGAGCTCAAGTGCAGTCCTCGGGTGCTTCTGCCATGCCGATCGATTGGACATGGCAGTCATGGTCAGCGCAACAGTGTTTACCGGTTTGGAGGCAAAGGGCCTTTCTCTATAGGTGTGGCTTGTCGCCATTTGTGCATTCGTGTCCGAGGAATCAGCTCGAAGCAAAGCGACAAAAGGCCATCGAGCCTGGACCCGAGTAGCTCAAACACTTAACCCCAAGCAAGATTCAGAGGGCCCCTCAGGAGTGTGCAGTCCCATGCATCCCTTGGTGTCCTTACTTGGGAGCTTGCCCAGCGTGCCAGTACCAGTATCATTACGGGGCTTTGCTATACCCTAAACCCTAAACCCTAAACATGCTTTGCTTGCAGCCACCTCAGGTGCCGTGACTCCTTCCAGGAGTTCAAGCGGCAGATCGCCAGACACGCCGAGTACGCCCGTCTGCAGCCCAGGTGACGGAGAGTCCACAAGGCTTACTTGGAGGTAGGGTTTAGGTTTAGTTTTTTATGTTTAGGGTGACATATAAGATCTTATAAGTAGGGTTATAAGTATGGTAGCTATACTTATAACCACACTTAGGGCACTTAGACCCCCACTCATGCTACCCATGAACCTCCAGCTAGGGTTCAGCCGGTTTTGAGCCCGGGCTGCCCGGACTCTAGCCCACCTGATGCTCCGACCAGCGAGTCTTGTCTACCTACGCGTGGAGGAAGCTTAGTAGAGTCTTAGAGGTACTTTGTAATGTGTAAAAATGAGGTAGTGTGTAATTCATAATGGGTTATATTATAGTAGAATTAGGTAATTCTCGAGTGGTCGCCGCCAGCCGCGAAGGCACTGGCAAGAAGATCCAAGAGAAGATCATCCAGGACTGGCGCGCGTGGTATTGTCCGAGGGCTGGGAGAATAGACAGCTTTCAAGTCAAGTCCTACACCAATGCAGGTTTAGGGTTTGGGGCTTAGGGGTTACAGCTGTATGCGCAGGAAGTAGAGGAATTCGAGCTGGACAAGGACGCGGAGGTCAGCACAGTATGCTGCCATGCCATGTGCAACAAGAGCGTTCTGCAGTCGTGAAAAAACTCGTCAGTTGCTTTAGCGACTGCATCTTCATTCTATGCCGCTTCCTGTGCCTGTGGCCAGTAGTGTGTTTGCACTATACAGTAGCACCAACAAGTTGACAGGATGGCAGTTGGAGTTGCACATAGCTGTTGCTTGCCTAAACCTGAACCCTAAAAACCCTCAATCCCTAAAACCCTTAAACCCTAAACACTCTAAAACCCTCAAAAACCCTAAAAAACCCTAAACACCCCAAAACCCTCAAAATCCCTTAAACCCTACAACTCGTGTGGGCTTTCTTGAGCTCTGGGAGGTGGAGGAAGTGCGAGGTTCCAACATCTCGCTGAAGAGCCTTGGCCTGCAGAAGCTATCTCAGGCTATATGGGGGGTTTCCAATACTAGGGGCACCTTAAGGTTGAGGGTTTGGGGTTTAGGGTTTGGGGTTTAGGGGTTAGGGTTTAGGGTTTGGGGTTTAGGGACCTATTTGGGGGTCTATATTCGGGGTCCCTGATCTTCGGACACCCCCGTATGTGTATCCTAAAGCCTAAGCCCTAGGCCATATAGATCTAGCGCACAAATCGAAACCGTATAGTTCCCCATATTCACATCTAAATCTACACGTACATATATATATATATATATGTTTTTTTCTTTTGTGTAACTAAGGGGGGGAGAGAGCGAGGGAGGAAGGTTCCGAGGCCCGTCCCCTGATGAAGAGAGCATGTTGAGGGCAGGTGCAGCTTCTTGTGCTGGTACAACCCCTTGCTCTTGCTATGAAATGGAGGAACTAGGTACCCCACATAATCCCTTAAAGGGCAAGTGCTTCGGATACAGGGTACATCATTCCCAAATTCCTTAGCAAAACAAAGAGTATCGAAATGCGACTCTGAGACACAGAGTGTGGGACCAGACATCGGGCAGGGGCACGAAGATCTGGTCCTCAGGCCGTCAGGCCCAAAGAGGCAATTAGAGGGGGAGACGTGAGCATACTAACTTTATAAGTTCATAGATACACATGATGTATTGCAAGCATCCTCAGACACCATTTAGCAGTCCTGCGCCATGCTGTTTTTATTGAAGTTCCAGTACTCTGATCTTCTGTCGTTTGCCACGGATTGCTGTCGCTTTCTTCACGTCTGCGAAGGAACCGCCTCGCAAAACTTGAACAAGCTCTGAGAAACAAAGACGAGCTCCTTGGAGCAGAATGCTGCGTGCGCTGTGGACGTTGCAACACACTGCGTTCTTGCAATTTTCCCAGGGACTCCAATACCCCTTAAGCAATATTCAGAATATTCCTCAAAAAATGAAGGGGCTCCTTAAATGGTTTAAGGAGTATTCCCTACTTAAGGGGTAGTGGAGTCTTTGGGTTCTCGACATCTCAGTCGGTTCTGTTCGCGCGAACCGAGGCTTGCAGAAAACCTGCACGTCATTGATTTCGAGCAGCTGAAAATTGAAAACCAGCAGCTCAACGTCGGCACCTCAGCTTCTCACACCAGCTGCGGAGATGTACCGGGGTGCCTCGTGCTCCGATGGGTTGCTCTTGGCTGCTCAGGAGAAAATAGAAGAACGGAACGAAGAGCTGCACAAGTTGGAGCCTCAAATGGCCAGCTGCAAGATGATGGGGCATGGTCATGCTCACAAGCGGCTGAAACGCAACAGGCTTTGAGGTGTGCAATCACACCCCCCCCAGCTTCGTGCTTTCATCAGCTGTGCGGAGTGTGTTGGTCCTATACCTGGGCCCAGGCTGCGCAAAAAGACGGTCGTAACCGTGCAGATCATTACGCACATGCGGGAGAAGGCTGACAAGCGCACGCCGGGGGTTAGTTTCTCGGGGTCAGCATCAGAAGTTTGTAAAAAAGAGAAGGCGCGAAGCATCACATGACTCAAGTACTTTAAAGCATCTCCCAGCCATCTGCATCGAGTCGGCCATATGCATCCTGGAGACCACCCGATGTGCCAGCACAACTGCGTTGCGTGATCTTTTGCTGCAACTTGATTCTTCCCGCGACCGCAGGTGCAGTTTGTCCAAAAGGAGTACCAGATTCTAAAAGAGGAGCTGGCACAGTCGAGCCCCTACTAGCTCGCTCGCGAATCGAGAACTGAGCACTGCCTGGAGATTCATATACATGCAAAAGGAGACGTAATGTTGGCCTGCACGCTTTGTATACCTTGTTATGTGAGGTTAGATCAAGATCTCGGCGCGCAGCGAGATCTGGTCACCAAGACCAAGCATGAGCGGGATGAGCATAGGCTTGGAGTGACTTGGGGTGATCAGGGTTCAAGGTGGGAACGGTATGGGGTCTGGAGGCTCGCATTTCAGATTTGATGAGGGCCTGGGAAAGGTGGGCACTCCATCTTTCCTTTCATCCCTAAACCCTAATTCCTAAACTAGTCAGTTCTCAGTCTGCCGTAGTTTGAATCGATCAGGTGTCAGCTCTTCGGTGCTATGTATTGGCATCGTAGGCCGTTGTCAGGTGGGTGATGGGTTTGCTGACCCCTGGTTGGTTCCTTGCTGGTGGTCAATGCACCCACTCTAGAGATCTCGACAGGAGTTGCCTTGCCCGCTTGTGCCAGTGTGAGAGTCGAAACCCTAAACCCATGAGCATGATGTCTCCGCATCCCTGTCGTCTTGCGCAGCAGAAGTACCGGACGCTCGAACAGGGTTTTGGGGCTTTCGGGCCTTACAGCCTTCGAAATCAGGATCCCTTTCTGGGTACCCTAAATGTAGCAGGCTCCGGAACATAAAGGGCCGAGAGTTGAGAAGAACACCGAATAGGAGGCTCCTCTCTCAAAGCAGCGCTTGGCGAGGCAAGAGTACGCCTCGCTGAAGCAGCAAACCGGCATCATGAACTCTGAGCACCTGACGAAGGATTTCAAGGAGAGCTTCCGGAACTCGAGTTTGGGGTGTAGGGTTTAGGGTTGTATAGACTGTATAGATGATAGGTTTAGGGGTAAGCCATGGAGTTTCTTGTCAAAAAGGGGGGTAAGGCATGAGTCTTCAGCAACTCAGCGAAAGTGCAGCCTGTAGCCTCTGACCCATTGGATCTTACGGCAGCAGGACCGTGCGGATCGCATCAAGGAGCTCAAGGCCGCGGTTGCTTCATTTTCTTCCGAAGAAGTTGAGCTGAATTGTGAAAAATTGCACATTTCAGGATCAAATCACCCAGCTGAAAAAGCGCCACGGTCAGATGTCGCAGCGCAGATCTCAGATACCAGGATGTCTTGTGGCGTGCATGGCGTATGCTATAAGCATGCTGTGGACAGTGCCGCTCGGACATTTTAGCCAGATGTTGCAAGCTCACGTTCGTTTTGGTGCAATGTAAGGCAGCATGATCACAGCCGCATAGGTTTGCAATACTTGTGGCAATGATCTCCGCTTCGCCTTGCATCATTTCTGTCCATGTATGACGTTTTCTGGCATCTGGGACGCAGGATGACAATCAAACCGAAGTGTACACCACACAGAAGACAACCCTTCACACTTCCTTAAGCTGCACGAGTCGTGCGCCTGAAGTCTTCGAAGCCTCGATCGAGAATATGACCGGCACGGCATGGACACGCAGCTGAACTGACTAAGACTCCATATGACTCTAGAATTAAAGCTCTATATGACTCCAAAAAAGGGTGTCAAACTTCGTAGGCTCGAAGGATCTATGATCTATGTGACTCTCCGGTGCAGCCTCAGGTTCATCAAGGCGCACGGTGGGAAGATTTGAGGCCAACTGCCAGTAGGAGGGTGAAGTTTGGACTTTTGGGTTTTCTAAGTCTAGGGCAGCAGAGCAAAAAGCTTGCAGCTCAGTCTGGGCAGCAAACTTCACGAACTATTGGCGCACCAGCCTCCTCCCTGCCGGAGGAAGGATGGATGTCTCACCCAGCACATCTCCGCAGCGCAGTGGGACTTCTGCGACCACTCGCCGCCTCCGAACACAACCATGTTGAACAAAACTCGTGGTCTTTGTGTTCATAGGTATTGTTGTGGCAACAGGGCTGTGCAGAACTCCCTTCTGACTGCTGCCTACAAGACGTACGCACCTGGATGCGCAGATCGCTGCCAACATGTTTCATGCACGCGGGATCCACACATGCAGACGCCTGTGCGGCATTCGAGAGGGAGTTGGGACGTGATTCTGATCTTCGTCAGGCACCTTTCATACAATCTCGCAAATGCCTCTGCATGGACTTGGGGCCCATGAAGTTTCACAGCGCTGAACTCCAGCGACGACGGCGATTTTCAAGATCGCTTGCATAAAAGAATGTCCCGGATTGCGCGGCCAGGTGACCGTGTTACTGTGCAGTTTGCTGATGGCTTTGCATGTCCAACGTAGAACGAGAAGAGCCCTTAATCTTTTGAAGCTACGCCACCCGCCTCGGCCAGTTCGGCGAAATCATGGGGAGTAGCTTTTGTCAGGATGGCCTGGCGGGGTATGGCCGGAAGGGCCAAACAGAGCACTTTGATCTTCAATCTGTCAATCGGGCTTCCTCTTCTTGAGGGTGCCCTCTTGAACCTGTCGGGGGCTTCCTTCCCAGTGCAGCTTGCATTTAGGATCGAGGAGGAAGGTCGCTGGGAAGGGACATGGTGCACTTTTCTGGTTGAGGAGAGACCTTCACGGACGGAACCCTCACGCCCATAGTTTGTATAGAACACCCTCCGGGATGAAAATGCTGAGATTTCTCATCTGAAGGCTGCCATCACTCGATACCTTCGCTTGATATGGGATGCTCACAACGATAAGGCCACGTGAAGTTTGCACATCCGACACCCTAAACCTTAAACCCAAATAGGTCCAAAACTTGTTACCAATCCAAGATCCACTTCATAGGGGGTGCATTCGCTGGAAGGCACTGTAGGCTACTTTGCATCAGCCAGTTCCACAGTCCATACCCAAGAAAGGGTGAGAAGAAGGTTAGGGTTTAGGGTTTAGGGCTTAGGGCTTAGGGCTTAGGGCTTAGGGCTTAGGGCTTAGGGTTTGGGTTTGGGTTTCGGGGTTAGGGCCGGGTTAGGGGTTAGGGTTGAGGGTTTGGGGGTGCAGCGACTGAGAAATGCTCCCTGAGGCCTACGGCCCGAGGCCTCGGCAGACATGTCGCTCACGATGGGGTGACACGTTGGAAGGAACGGGCAATTGCTTAGGCTTGGCGTTCCATCTCCGAAGATTTCGATACGTCAGAAGCTGAATCGCCGAGGATCAAGGATATCAAAGATGGGTCATGCGTGGTAGCACGTATATGTTGTGGTTTTGGCTTGAAGCAGCTGACGCAAGGAAGGCCAGACATCACAACAAGAGTCAAGGTTTGGTGATGAGGGAGAGATGCTAGTCATAGCCTTTTCTTAGATAAGCCGGCAACGTGGCCATGGCAGATTGTGCAGTGGGTCGAGCTTGGTGCTGAGATTGTCAGCACGAAGCTGCGGTAGCTCATGTACCTCCAATACTCCAAACCCCTAAACCCCTCAACTCCTAAACCCCTAAACACCTCAACCCCTAAACCCTAAACCCTTAAACCCCTAAAACCCCTAAAACCCCTAAATCCCTAAACCCCTAAACCCTAAACCCCTAAACCCCTCAACCCCCCCTAAACCCTAAATCCTTAAACCCCTAAACCCTAAACCCTAAACCCTAAACCCCATGTGCCTTCCAAGAGCTTCTCAGTAATGCCAAGCATGCGGTCAGGCATTCGTGAGCACGCGTGCACCTCTGGAGCGCTTCGGCCGCACAGAAAGGGTTTAGGGTTTAGGGTTTAGGGTTTAGGGTTTAGGGTTTAGGGTTTAGGGTTTAGGGAGACTTCAAGAGTGCGGTGTTGGAGTGAGGTGGCTTGCAGGCGCTTGGCGGTGAAGAAGAGCTTGTTGGGGATGTCGACCTCGGCCAGACAAGCCATTTCAGGGTTTGGGGTTTCGGATTTAGGGTTAGGGTTTAGGGTTTAGGGTTTAGGGTTTAGGGTTTAGGGTTTAGGGTTTAGGGTTTAGGGTTGCAGTCCCTCCCAGGCCAGCTGCTACTGCAGCCACATTGAGAAGGCCACCGCGCAGCTCGAAAACTGGATGGCCTGGGTGCCTGCCACAGACAAGCCTCCACGTCGAGCGGGAGCACGGAAACATCAGAAACACCCCAACGTTTAACATGATAAATTTATCGGCCACCTTCATTCTGAGCAACGCTCGCTGTGGCCATGTCCTGAATCTGCCGGCACGAAGGCGACACAAAACACGGGAATTGTGACCCACATTCTGGGGCATGCTCTCGCAACATCGTGATGACACGATTCTCGGCGTTCTCAGCTTTTTTTGCTTATGAAGATCAGGGCCTTCCCAAGAAAACCTGTTTCAAGCCCAGTGGTCTGCTACGAAGATGCACACAACTTGAGGTAGTTGGCTAAAGACCAAGCCCTCAACCCTAAAACCCTAAACCCTAAACCAAGTAGCCTTGCAGTAGTGCGTCGCTAATTTCTTCCATGTAGGCATTCCGAGTCGCAGCACAACGGTGCGGGCATTGTGATGATAGGCTGAGCCGAAAGGACTCCGGCGTTGTATTCACATGGGATTTACGAAAATAGGGGACCCCCCCCCCCCCCCAAGATCGACCCCAAAATAGTAGGATCCCCTTCTAGTAGGGACCCCAATAAGGCACCCCTAAAATCCAAAACCCCCAAATCCGCCCAAGCAGTATCTCGAAGCTGGGCCACGAGAAAGCGTAGGTCCAGCTGCCGATAGAGCCATGGCCCTGTTGGGTGTGACCTTGTGCGGTTTCTTCGGCCTCGCCGGCCTTACGCTACTTGTTGCAGTGAGTCTGAGCATGGTCAGGAGTAGTAAAAAAATGGTACTCTGCGTGCTTCTCATTGTCTTGAGGTTTCTTCTGGAGCGAATGCTGCTCCCATCTGGGCCGAGGTGCGTCACAGGAAGATCACACTAGCAATCACTAGCAGCTGCTAATCGCGAGATCCCCAGCCCTTGCCGGCGGCTGGATTTGCCACGTGCATGAGTCAGTTTGTAGCAGCGTAATGGTTTTCCTGCCGCCTGCTGCGTGCCATGGTCCTCAGCACCTCCTCAGCCCCAGGCATATCCTTTGCGGGAGAATTAGGGCACAAGCTGCAGGTTTAGGGTTTAGGGTTTAGGGTTTAGGGTTTAGGGTTTAGGGTTTAGGTTTAGGGTTTAGGGAGCAGCACAGGTTGCGCGTGTCACGAGTGGACGAACAGACAGGCCAGACATTGGGTCCTTGTCATGTCTTACTGCAGGAGTAGCCACCCTGAAACCCAATGAACCCTAAAATTGGGGTCATATACCCGCTATATGAACCATAAACCTGTTGGGTCATATACCCTATACTATCATAATTCCTACTAAAGTATGTATGAACCAAAAACCCTTTTGGGGTTCATTTGGTTCTCAAGGCAGGTAGAGCTGTTTATTCACAAGGCTTCTGTTGCCCATCGTAGCCTCTTGACTTGCTTTTTTGCGAATGTCAAACGCCATCCCTCAAACTAGAGTAACTAGAGCTTACTGATGGGTTTTGCGTTGGGAGTGAAGGCATGGTTCATTGTTAAAATTGCGACTCTTCCTTCATTCCATACTGAGATATGTGCAGTTCTCTCCTTTGATGGGTCCTTCTTACAAGGGTGTATAAGACCCAAAAAGGGGCCCTGGACTAGAGAACTACCCATACACTATCGGCAACAGTATAAGGAGATGGTCAGCCCTAAACCCTAAACCCTAAACCCTAAACCTCAGGACTGACTTGGACCACGGGTCTCGGACTTGGTGAGAGTCCAGCCTACAAAACCGCGCTCCGGAGGCAATGGATCAATAAATCCCCCCCCCCCCCCCCACAGTAAACCCTAAACCCTAAAGCCTAAACCCTAAACCCAGCAATGAAACACCACAGTAATCTACTATGCGCTTAAGAACCACCCAAAGAATGAACAGATTCTTCCTAGCTAGGGCAATCTGGGGATTAGTATTCTTTCTGTGGTTTGGGGGGCTCTTGAGCAAATGGGGGGGGGGGGCTGTTGAGCGAATAGAGAAGCTGCATGACATTTGACAGGGTTTCCTGCGCAAGACAGGCAAGCATGTGATGAAGTCGCTCACACTTTCTGCCTGCTGTATGGCAATACATGGTATACCACATGCGATTCTGCATCCTGCGCAGGCAGTTCAACAACCACATCAACACACACACACACACATACAAAACGTTCAAACTGAAGATTGGAGCGATGAACGAGTAAGGTCACGATTGTCATGGAGACACTCCCGAAAGGACGCCTAGGCGCGCGCAGGGCGGCCATGAACGCTTCTGAGCACAGCATGGAATGGGTCCAAAAAGCCCAACAGTGCCCAATTAAGCAAGCTGTTCGCACTCAGTTCCTGAACAGAGAGAATATAATGAAAACATATTATATTATATATTGTATTGTATTGGATATATTATCAACATAATTAATTAAACTAATCAAAATAAAAATGATCCTGTAAGACCCTGAAATTGGTAATTGGGGGACAACAAATCTTGGCCAGGTGTAAATCTCGTGCACGGGAAGCAGACGGTGTCCCGGGTTGTCATGAGCCTTCGCCTTCTGGAATCATGTGGGGGTTTCCGAAAAAACGGGTTGCCTTTTGGGATGTTCCCCTTTCTACTAACAGGCCTTAACAGGGATTATTGTACCCCCTACAATTTATTAAGGAATGTTAGTATAAGGGGGAAGATCCCAAAGTACCTTATTGGGGTATAAGGGAATCCTACTATTTGGGGATCTACATTGGGGGTCCCCCATTTTCGTACAGCCCATGTGGAATCATGTGGAATCCGACGATGCCCCTTGGTAAGTAACTTCGGTTCGAGTTGCCATAGTAGGGCAAAGTAGCTTAGAAAATGGTTACAGTACCCTATTCTTGTCATGGTAACTTAAAAATCAAGCTCCTTAACAAGAGCCCGGTACAGAGTACTGAGTGTGGTACTAGTAGGGGTTCCTCTTCGATGGAGACAACATCGTCAAACAGCCCCTTGCAACGGCCTGTGCCGGTCAAGGAAAGAAGCCTTCAACGCGGGTTGGCGTGTGGGTGACGAAGTCCTCACTGTCAATGGGCACAAGGCCTCCCCAAGCTGTTTTTAGCTTTTGGAGTGGCGTGCAACACTTTCAACGCGCTGAGCTTGACTTCGCGAGATTTCGGCAGCATTTGGTCCTTCATGTGCCTTTTTCAAAGTAGCTGGCTGTCTGTGATTTGTCGTTCCAGGCTGCATAGATCCTCCGACCCTAATCCCTAATAAAACCCTAAACCCTCAACCCTCAATTCTGCTTTAGGTGCGTAGGGTCGGAGGATCTCTAATGAAACCCTAAACCCTCAACCCTCAGTTCTGTTTCAGGTGCGATCCAATGCCGCGGCGCAGCGAGCAGTTCGCGGGGCAGTCAAAAGGTACCTACAGCATGGAGGCCGCGTGCAGTTTGAGGCCCGCGTGACATGCTTTGGCTGTGCAACGCAGTAGAACACCATAGGATCTCTCCGAAGATTCCTCTGTGCCTGTGGTGTCTTTGCCTTTGCTAATTCGCCTAAATGGTCAAAGCATCGGCAACCTGCGCCTCTCTATACGTACGATCATTGGCAGTGGCCCGGTATTCCGCTTCTGGACATTTCTGGACCGTTCATTTGCTGGGCGGGACGTGCGCAGGTGCGCCGCTGGGGAGTTCCGGACGGCAGCCGTGGTATGCTGCAATTCACCACTAATGGTCGCGGGAAGCTCAGATCCTAATGGTCCTAATCCCCACAGACGAATCGCAGTAACTTCTTCCTGCTGGTAGAGCTTGCAAGTAGCTTGTTGCGTTGAACATACGTACGAAGCGCAAAGTCCGAGCCTGCTGTCAATTGCGTTTGCGCAAAGACGCCGAGGCAGGGATCACTTGGTACCGATGCTGGACATTGCAAAGGGAATCTTGCAGGACGGCCAGCTTCGTGCTATGAACCTCCGGGTGTCCATGGAAGCCCAACTTCGAAAGCTGTTCTTACTATAAGAGGATTTTCACATCGTCCTCTTCATGGAGGGAACTTTGGCAAAGCCCAAGACGCGCTTGGCACGGAAGGTGCTTGCAGGGGCGGCTATGGATCGGATCTGTTCGGGGTCGCTGCCGGGAATGCGTAGAACGTTTCAGGATTCTCCAGATCTAAACCCTAAACCCTAAACCCCCGCAGGTTATCAAAGAGCTGGATACGCGAGGCATGGCCTTTAAGGCACGCGCGATGCAAGGACAAGAGGGGGGCTTCCTACGATACGATGCTGCAGAGTGGAGTGTAGACTACTAATTACTGGGCTGGCAAGGTTTGAAGTGTCAAGGCGTCCTTTGAGGTGCCAAAATTAGTGGGCACCGTTTCTAGTCCCGTACACACCTACCCATGGGAAAGAGCACGGCTGAGCACATGGCACCGATGTTGCCGCATCCCTCTTTGTTCGGCAGTGCAGTGGAAACAGTGAAGGCCTTTGATTGCACCGACGAGAAGACGAACCCAGGCATCCGCAACATCACAGCACAGCTTGCAGGGGAAGAGGCGCGTCGCCCTTAATTCTTAGGCGTAAACCCTAAACCCGAAACCCTAAATTTGTCGAAGCGATTCGAAGCGGTAAAGGTGCTGCCGCAGCTCTTCATCGATGGCGTCCACGTGGCCGGTGGAAAGGTGGCGTTTCTACATGAAGACGATTCTATCGGTTCTTGTTTTGCCTCTTTTGCGGCTCTAATTTCGCAGACACGACCTATACAATTGGTTCAAAAGAGGACGTAAACAGCTACCAGTAGTCATCCAGTCATCGCAGGTCATTCATTGCACGTGATGCCGGGTTCGAGCTTCCCATAACACTAGAGCTTGGCAGCCTTCTACGCCTTATTCCCTTTGCAAGGCGATTCTGCAAGCACTTTCGAGCTTATCTACTACACCGACACCTGAGTCGGGCGAGGAAGAGCAGGACGAGCAGAAGAAAATACACGCGGGGCGGTTACGTGATTGTTTATGTTGGCGCAGGGGATGTGCATCATCAATGTTTTCTACATTCGGTCATGTTGCAGAGCCTTTAAACCCACTCCCAGGCACCCTTCAACATTGACGGCATCAACCGCAGTTGCAGCCGCTGCAGTAGCTTTTTCCAGGCCTGGCACATCCCCACCCCTTCAGACCTCCTTCTTGAGAAGGTCAGTCCCCTTTCCCCCAAGAGTGGTGGCTGCTAGCAGAAAGGAGTGGAAATTGCAAGCCAACTACATGATGCATTGGCAACACAGCTTCGCTTTGTGACCGTCTCGCCTGTGAGGCAGCAACGCGCGCCGCTACCTGTAGCTCGCAGGCATCCAACTAAAGAGTTGGGGTGGGTGGAAGGAGGGGGGACGCTTCATGGTTTCAGACCTCTTCATGCACGTGGTTCTGACAGGCCCTCGTCGCATCTTGTCGCGCTTGAAGTGGGGCAGCACCCATGTCAATGACCCAGGGACAGTGGAGAAGGGACATCTGAGAGTGCAGGAGATTGATGTTCCTGCGGTCTTCAACAGACAGAATGGCTGCAACAGAAGTCCGAGAGAAGCTGCTGAGCAACTTGGCCTCGGTTGA